GAGGTTAAGCACGGAGACAGTTGACAGAAGCGATGTTGACAGCGCCTCCTCAGAGCAATAACAGGGTTGTGTCGAACGATAACAGGGTTGGCGACTAGGGAACGTAAAAATTACGCGTCAAATAAACTATCCCGCCTGAACGATAGGGAATCCGGTGATGATAGGCCAGACATCATATATTATATATAATAAAGACATGTAACGAACTAAAAACGTTACAAAGTGCTAACTTTAAAGGACTTTATAAATAGGTTTATAAATACCAATTATGATTATTGTTAGTTCCCAGTAATAATTAGTACGCAGAAAGAAAAAAATTGTGGGTGTTTGGGAAGGCTCGAAAGGAAACAATGTTTATGCGACGTTTCGCAACTTTATTGTCGCTTCTTCAGGCACTATAGGAGAATCAGTTTTTTTAAAAAATATCAAAATAAAATTAACTGGCCACTTACCCAAAACATATATTAATCCATATTATGCCTACAAACATTTATGGCGATTCCAACAGCCAACACTAAGCCACATACGGAAGAATGAACAAAAACTTAACGGGTATTTTTTGCCCGACGTACACCGATGCTCGGTTTGTGTCGTACTGACACCAGTTGAATTAATTTCGGTACCAAAAAAGGATTGATTTTTTGTTTCCTTTATCATTAATTTCTTTCCCCATGTTTCTGGTGCTCTTAAGAGCCCTAGTAAATTTCTTATGTTCAGGCTGGTCGGCATCGCCATAAACAAATAAATGGAATCATAAAAGTGAGCCTGATAGGAATTAAAATTAAATAATTTTTTGAAATGATTTGTCAACAAATTAAAGATAAAAGAATAAAAAAAGTATTAGAAATTAAATAAACATATAAAAGAAAAAAAAATTGCGTTTGGTTGAGATCGAATTAAAAAGTAAAAAAAATAATACATTGAGTACACAAGTAAAATAGGTATAGGTATATGTATGTATAAACAAAAATAATTAACAGGTTAATAATTAACACACACAACCACAAAACTTGAATTTAGTAATATCAATACTGGCAATATTGCCATAACGATAACTCTGCACAAAGAAAAAAACACATTCGCGGCGGAAAAAGTAAGAGAGCTTTAAAGAACAATTCTCCAAAATGTTCACACCCGAAAGCACCTCCAATACACCAAAAAGCCGTGCATGGTTAATCCTTTCTTTTTTCATTATTTTTTCTGTGCTTATTTAAAATGTTGCTATATATTACACTAAGACCCTGGGTGTCAGACCTCATGTTTACTGTTTTGTTCAAATTAATATGAATCAGAATATATGTTTTAGGTAAGTGGCCAGTTAATTTTATATTGATATTTAAAATAAAACTGCTTCTCCTATAGTGCCTGAAGAAGCGACAATAAAGTCGCGAAACGTCGCAAAAACATTGTCTCCTTTCGAGCCTTCCCAAACACCCACGATTTTTTTCTTTCTGCGTAATAAATACCAATAGCGCTGTCGATAATAATTAAAAATGGTCAAATATAAAGCCAAATGGAGAACCGGTGATAGAACTTCACCTTCCTAACTATCACGCAATCTCCGAGCGACGCCGCAGTGAAAAGTTTTTATCGACAGTATTATTTTGCAGGTGCATATAGAGTCTCGCGAAATAATGTTAGGTTCACACCACACGGGCTCAATTTGTTTGTTGTACATTTCATCTACATAGTAATAAATTAAATTAAATGGTGATCCTTCGTTAGCACGAAATAACCAAACATTTAGGTATATAATGTTATTGTTCATACAGGGTAATTAACGGCCATGGCACGTTAGACGTTTATGGAGCACCTGCTCCATCTGTTGTCAACATTTGTCTATTATACTAACCAAACCAAACCTATACCTGTCTCTAATAGTTTTCGAGATAAAAAATAAAACATGTGTAAAATTGACAAAAACAGGATCTTGAATAAACATTCTAAGGTTCTCCATAAACTTCTAACGTGCCATCGCACCGTGAATCACCCTATGTAACAATAACGTAAATACTGATCCAAAGTTCTCTTTTGCTGACACTGTATATACATAATATAAAGTAAATGTAAGTTTAATTTTACTGTGTTTAGTGTAGGTGCCCCTTGTAAATATTTAAAAACCTATCGACATTATTCAATAAACAAAATCTCACATTTATTAATTGCGATCAAATTTGATAGTTGGCTTTATAATTGACCATTTTTAATTATTATCTACAGCGCCCTATTGGTATTTATAAACCTATTTATAAAGTCCTTTAAAGTTAACACTTAACACTTTCCCAACAACGAGTTGAATGTAATTTGCGTCGTTATTACATAATTAAAACAAAAAGTGTTTAAATAACTTCTACACTGTAATAAAATTTTGCTGGAAGTCCAGTTAGAAAGGTTTATTTAGTTTGCTATAATTGAATTAAGTGTTGTGCTGTTTGCAATAACGGTTCGCTGCACTAAATAAAACAAAAACGATATACAGGGTGACAATTTGAAAACGAACAGTATTTAATATTGCCTCTACCGATGATAGTATAAAAATTTGGCGAAACACGCCAATTTACATATCAAGGGGGATAATTTTTGAGGCATTTGTTGTCGTGTTACTTTCAACCCCTTGACCCCCAGGGCATCTACCTCTAAAATTTTAAATAGCAACCCCTATTTCTTTTACCATTTTTGTGTTTCTTATAGTATTCTACATAGACTGCATTATTTTTTTGTCAAAATTGTGATACTTAACCTCACAAATGAATGAAATGTAGATATTTTATGTACATTAAAATTAATGCACTTCCTTGAAAAATTATGATAATGATAATGAAATACTGGAAGGCTTACCTTTACTACTTTATAAATTTTTCAAAATGGGTTCCATTCTTCTCCAAGCAAAAGTGCAACCGGTATTCAAACTGTTCTTGGACGTTTTGAAAAGTTTCAGGTGAAATAGCTCTACACTCTTGTACAATTCTTTGTTGTAATTGTTCAATGGAGTCTGGTTGAGTTTTAAATAAAACGGATTTCAAGTGGCCCCATAAGAAAAAATCCAGGGTGTCAGATCTGGTAACCTAGGTGGCCATTCTATGGGTCCTCTCCTACCAATCCACTGCTCTGGGTAATGATTATCCAACCACTCTCTTACTGGGCGTACATAAGAGACACTCCGTCCTGTTGGAAGTGCAGCAAATGCTCATCTAGAAAAAGATTTTCGTTGTCCCTTTGATTTTCCACCTCACGAATTATAAGAGGTTCTATTGCTGTATCTAACATTTCTGTATAAATTTCACCATTTTTTAGATTTTCATTAATGAATAGAGGACGGATGATACTATTGCCTGATTTACCCACCCAGACATTTAATTTTTGAGAGTATTGCGTATGCCCCTTTCTAATAATGTGAGGATTGATGTCGCTCCAATAACGACAGTTTGTTTTTTGACCTTGCCATTCAAATAAAAAGTACATTCGTCACTGAAACAGATATTTTTATTAACCTGAGCTAAGTAATAATCTTGTCCGTCATAATTTCGCAACACTCAATACGTCTCTCTGGGTCATCGTCCCCTAATTCTTGAGTAATTAAGAGTTTGTATGGATGAAATTTGTGAAGCTTTAATACTTTCCTGACTGCCTCACGCAACAGTCCAGTTTGATCTGCAACTTTACGAAGGGACGTAGTGGGAGCCATAGTAACTTCTCCAAGAACCTCAATCTGAGCGGCTTCATTGAGCAGTCTTGGCTCATTTCTTTTATTGCAAACAGATCCTTTTTCTTTAAATTTAGGTACTAACTCACGAATGTACTTGTGTCCAACATTTCTTTCGCGATGTCTTTCATTGAATGCGGCTGCCGTTCTTGCAAAGCAGCGATTTTCAGCTCCGTAAATAAAAATCATTTCTACGCGTTCAGCAATAGTGTAAACCATTTTAAGAAACAACACTAATAATTGAAAACTATTGAAATTGTTTATGAAATTAACTTTCACAGCTTATTTCACTGATTCTGGAAGAACATGAAATAAATAATGAACACCAGGAGTCGAAAAATAAAGAACATGTACCTACTTATCATTTGTTCGAAATATCAGGAATAAGCAAAACGAGAATCTTGTTTTGTCGAAAACGGCAAAAAAATTAAATTACTTTATATTTTGTAGTGGCGATATCGAAGACGAAATGTAAATAAATAAAGGAATTTGGAATTTATAGTATTGGTAAGTACAAACATTTTTAAATGAAGTTCTATGAGGCTGTGAATGCAATCCGTTTTAAAATTAGATATTAAATACATTTCATTCATTTGTGAGGTTAAGTATCACAATTTTGACAAAATAATAATGCAGTTTATGTAGAATTTTATAAGGAACACAAAAATGGTAAAAGAAATAGGGGTTGCCATTTAAAATTTTAGGGGTAGGTGCCCTGGGGGCCAAAGGGTTGAAAGTAACACGACAACAAATGCCTCAAAAATTGTCCCCCTTGATATGTAAATTGACGTATTTCGCCAAATTTTCATACTATCATCGGTAGAAGTAATATTAAATACAAGTTGTCCAAGTTGTCACCCTGTATAATAAGTTGTGCGTTAAAATAATAAAGTAAATTTATAATGCCAATGCGATTCGCATATAAAATAAGCCGCAAATTTTAGCAACATTATCAATATTTAATTGTTCTATTCCTGAGATTAGTATCTGCAGTAAACCATAATACCAGAATTAGTTATTTAGACCGTTCATAATTGCAACTAATTGCAGCTAAGGGACTCTCTTGGGATTGCTTTGTTGGTAAGTACATACTGCAATAAATGCTAGGATAACTTCAATTGTTAAGCAACAATAAATAAACCAATTCTGATAATCTATCTATACGCTTCCAATAATACTGTATATCTACTGTATCTACTAGTTATTATTAATTAATTGGAGAAACGTTATATCTGGATAAAAGCTGGAAGGGAAGACACTTGTACTTGCTAAAGAGAAAAACTATTTAGGAATCATTATGGACTCGAAGCTTTCATGGAAAAGGAACACGGAGGAAAAGGGTGATAAAGGTAATAAATGCATTCGTATGTATGCATGTAAAAATCTATTTGGAAAGAGATGGGGTCTGCAACCGTACGGTTGTAGTGTACGGTTGCAGACCCCACCAACCCATCAGTGTATAATTACACTGGCTGTACACTGCTATAGTTTAGACCAAGTGAGAACTAGCGTGACCTACTAGTGACCTAAGTGACCTGAGCACTATCCATCACTTATAGAGCACTAGTATGGTGGGAAGCGGTACTTAAAGAGACAATAGAAATGATAATAATATAAAGATATAATGTAAAAAAGTCTCACAAAAGTACAGCGATTAGCAGCTCTATGTACAACTGGAGCCAGGAACAACACAGCGCAAGCTGCGCTAGAAGCAATTCTGGACTTGCAGTCAATCGAGTGGCTCGTGAAGAATCTGAAATGAATGAAGATTAAGGGAATCCAATGTGTGGAACCAGACCAACTACGGTCACTCGAGGATATTGCCAGTGATAGGGAAAATCATGGGGACTACGAGTCTACATCTGCTAGACCAGAAAACGGACTATAATATGCTCACCAAACATGCTTTTGGAGAAAAGATAAGGATTCGCATCCCAACAAGAGAAGAATGGGAAAGCAACCGAGTAATGAACGCTCAAGAGATAGCAGTCTACACAGATGCTTCCGCCACTTCAGGGGGCACAGGTATAGGCATCTTCTCAGAGGAACTAGACATCCGACGATCTTTAAGGAGGCTATCGGATGGCTGTAATGTTCTACAAGCAGAGGTTTACGCCATAAAGGAAGCGGCTAGTTGTATATGAGAGAAAATTGCTGATAGACCAATAGGGGATATAGTGATATACTCTGACAGCTTGGTCGCTTTAAGAAGCATCACCATGCAATCAGTGAGAACGAAAACTGTGATGGAATGCCGAGAAACACTGTCCTGTCTTTTTGGGGGTGCCAGGCCGCAGCAATGTGGTGGACAATCAGAAAGCAGACAGACTCGCCAAAGACGGGGCCAGGGGAGAGGCCGTGGCAGATGACCCACCACTTGTGACGATCTACACACTGAAGGAAGCTATAGGAACTACCATCAAAACCAAGTAGCAAGAGACGTGACAACATCGTGAGGACTGCGCTACAGCTCGAAGACTGTACTCTGCCAGTGGTAGGTAGCAAAAAGACAAAACAACTACTAAAGCACAAAAAGGACCTAGTACGCATAATTGTAGGTGTCGTCACTGGAAACAGTCCCACGGGGGTAAACCTCGTGAGATGGAAAGTTTCCGACCACGACTACTGCAGAGAATGCGGAGAGGAAGAAGAAACCATAGAGCACCTGCTGTACCACTGTCCGACACTGGAATACCGACTAGAGGAAGCAGCAGAAGCCAACATCAGCGACATCAGGAACTTTGCAAAGAGCTGGAAGTGCTTTAACGCAAAGAAAGAATGAGGGGAAGGTTTGGTACAACAATAACAGGGGTATCGCAATGGGCCCAAGGTCTCCGAGTGAGGGATCAAACATGATCTCAAACCCCAGCAACCTAACCTAACCTACATCTGGATAAAACAGCTTTTTAAATAAAAACATATTAATAGATTTGAAAGTATACATATAGGATAATTCATAAATGCGTTGATTGTATGTTAAATTACTTTTGCAATTAATATATGTCCAACTATTTTGAAAACTGTACTGTTTTTTAGTATGTCTAAACAACTTTACAGCAAAGATTCTTATTTTTTTATTGAGAATGAAATTAATAAAACACAAATTATGATTTGCATTTAAGTTATAAAAGTATTTTTATGAACACTGCGTAACAATAAAAAATGAGGAGATGCATTTTTTCTCTATTCTTAAGTCTTCATCAACTTCATTTTATAAAAAAAATTGACAAAATGTTTGTCTTTCTTGACATCAAATTAAAATTAGTTAAAAAATAATTAAACTATGGTATGGTGTTTTATCAAAAATAACTTTTTTATTTCTTTTTGTTTGTTTATCAATACTGGCTTTTTAGGCACAAAGGCATCAACATTATTTTAGAGTACCTATTCTCGACAAAAAATGGCCAATGGCAAAAGGCGAATCATATATTCATGTATTATGATAAGAGTTATAGTATTCCATACATAGTACCAGCCCACCAGGGTAAAATATTTAACTAAAAAAGGAGCGAACACTCCACTAAGTGGACCAGAACCGTTCTGCTTCCCAAGTGGAAACTAACTTAAAGCGCAACTCAAGAACCTGGAAGACTCCGCCCGTAACCTGGAATGAGAATCCTCCAACGGTAGAAACTCGAAGACATTTCTCAGAACTTACGACCGATAAAAATCAAAGATTTTCCTTCACTTAAGTAAGAACAATTTTCGAATTGTCACGGAATTTTTCACAGGACTCAAATACTTCAGTATATTGAAGCTAAGAAACAACGGCAAATGCATATTCTGTGAGGGAAATGGGGAAACACCAGAATATCTCATCACTGAGTGCACCGAGATGACAACCATTCGTGCCATAAACTTTGGTACGACTGACAATGGAGATTGAGAACTAATCTCTATAAAACCGTCTCAGATACTGGCTTTTGTCAAAGCCCTGAGAATGTATGATGAATTATAAATCGCTGCAACTAAAAAAGGGTGACCAAATAGATCTGTAAGGCCGCGGTGTTTACCTTTCTCATACATTCTGCATTCCATCCATAAAGTAAAATCCATACATAAAACATACATAAACATAAATTAAAATTATATTAAAATCAGACAGCTTTTTAAATACAAGCATATTAATTGATTATAAATTATACAGGGTAATTCATGAATGAGTTTATTGTATATTAAATTACCTTTGCAATTACAAAATATACAAATATTTTGAAATCTATAATGTATTAATACACTTCAACGACTTTATAGTTTTCAAAATATTTATCAATTTAACAACTACACCAATGATTCTCTTATTTCTTAGTGCGAATGAAGGTAAAATAGAATACAAATTATGATTTGCATTTAACTAATAAAACTATTTTTAGGAACACTCGGTAATACTTAAAAATTGGTCAAGTGCGAGTCGGACTCGCGCACGAAGGGTTCCATTCGTTATCTATAAAACATTAGACACTATATTATTATAAACTTTTTTTCCGATTTAGCTGAAATTTTGAATGCGCGTATAAGTAATTTAAAAAAAAATGAAGAAACACATTACTAAAAATTGTATTAATGAATAATAAATATGTAAAAAGTAAAAATAGATACGTAAAAATATTACAGTTGAGGGTTGGAACCTTTGGTGTTACACAGCAAAATAAAATTACACTAAATCACCACAATACACCGAAACACTATACCAAACAGTACAATACACCAAAAAACTATGATCAGTTTATAATCATCTGCTGATGATGCTAACATGGTTAGCGAAACGCGCGTCCAGTGTAAAAGTAAAAGTGTTTTGGTGTATTGTGGTGATTTAGTGTAATTTTATTTTGCTGTAAAAATATGTAAAAATTAAAAAAAAAACGATTAAAAAAAGTCGCCTTGACTAGGATTCGAACCTGCCTTACTACGGCTCCAACGTCATAGCAGCATAAAGGATGCTTCACGCTATACCGTAACGGGTCCGAGCCGTGCGTCGGTGAAGACACGGCCAAACAATGTAAAGTGTTCTTTACACATATACATTCATGCCAGGCCGAGCACGATCCGAGCTTCGCCGGAACTCGTCCGTGCCCCGTCCTAGAAATGTCGGCGTACATTTTTTTCTCGGCTCCGCTCCGTTCCCGCCACGTTACGGAAAGCATGAATTTACTTTTCCTGGTGCCCCGACTGCAATCTGCAGTCATGATATAAACAAAGTACACTTTTTATCATGTGTGTAGTAAGTATTAGTGAATCTTACAGCAGTATTTGACGACAGGGTATGCGTAAAACTGGACAATGAAAGGATGTAATGAACAAGATATATACTTCATCTTTTCCTTTGAGCAGGTGTTTCCCTTGCAGGTGTTCTTTATTCATCAACTTCAATTGGTATCAATTCCAACTGCGAGAACTTTGGCATTGTTCGTATTAAATCTTCGTTTGTCTATGGGGCTGTGTTTTCTAATATACTCGGAACTAATACGAACCCCGTTATCAACTCGGTGTTGCATATACAGAAGGATCGGACGTGGCTTGGTGTCTACTTCACGGAACGTGCCCGGCTCGGGCACGGTGACAGAGGGCACCACCTTTGTGACAGACGGACGGACAGCAAAGTCTTAGTAATAGGGTTCCCGTTTTTACCCTTTGGGTACGGAACCCTAAAAATGAAGATGAAGCCTGTTCTCCTTATTTCTCAATTTAAACATTTTTCAATTCCAAAATAACAACTGTCATTCGTGACATAAAATTGAAAATAGTTAAAAAATAATTAAACTATGGTAGGTGTTTGAGTACATATAAAACAATTAAATACAATTTAACGTAAATTATTAAAATGAGATGATCTAGAGCATTACTTTCTTAGAGAATTTAAAGTAAGCGTGTTGCCATCTAGTTCCAAAAATCGGAAATACCAACAGCTTAAGAATATTTTAATCGAATTGTGCTCAGCAACGCTTTAACCTTATAATTTCAAACTTATTCTAAATATATTTTCAGTAGATCAATCGAAGTAACAAGTACCAGTTCCACATGAGACACTCCATACATTTTTTATCAAAAGAAAAAATAATATTATAAAATTTCTGTTTTTTCATCACTTTATTCCGTGCTAAAATAATAATTTTATCAAAACTGGCAACTGAAAAAAATGAATACCTTGAATAGATTGACCATTATTTTGCTTTTAAAAGTTTTTTTAATGGATTTTTAGACACGTGCTTCGTTTAAAAGCATTCATGAAATATTGAAATGCAAAATCTATTACAGAGTGATACGATATAAATCGATTTCAATTAAATATGAAATTCTGTTTTTCAATTTTAATATTTTTTCTTTTGCACTACTTTTATAATAGGTGTAATATAATATAGGGTAACGGGTACAGTGGTTGGCCAGGCGATAGTGATTGGCCACTTAGAATAAAATTAACTTTTTTAAGAAACTGGAGAAAAATTCAGAAGTAATTTCAATTTTAGTAAATCATGGCAACAGTGTGTAAACAAATCTATATTTTGAATGTGTCATCCCAGCAGTAGCAAATGCAAAATTGGCGGTTCAATATAACGTTGTATTTTTCTAGAGAATTCGATGCTATTCTTAGTGATTGCATGGTGTGTAGGGATCTTGCAAAGGTATGTATTTATTGAGTATAATTTATTATTCATTTATTGTATATGGTTTTTGCTTTTAGGATATGCTTTAGTAGTTTATTTTTAACTCTTTTAATGTCAGGTTAATGAAATTTACCCCAAATTTTTAACTGGCCAATAACCCTAACGAATAAATTGGACTAGCAACAGTTATTGGCCACCTGGCTAATGACTGTGCCTAGCTTCAAAAAAATAATATTTAGGAAATCGTTATTTTTATCAAGTTTAAATCCTTATTTTTAGAATTGTTTAAGCAGGTTGGCTGAAAATGTCTATTTAACAATTATTGGCCATGGCCAATCATTATAGCTTTAAGGTGGCCAATAACTATACCTACCATACCAAGAATAAAATTATTTAATATAATTAAAGAAAACATTTAATTTTTATAATAAATGTATGCACGACCGTTATATAATTACCCTTTTACTTTACTCATTTTTAGCCATGCCGAAAGTTGCAAAATCCGAGATTTACGAAAAAAAAAATACGACGAGGGAGACATTACCAAAGCTTTGCAAGCAATTGCTGAAGGATCAAGCGAAAGGAAAGCAGCGGTGCAATTTCGTGTTCCTAGATCAACTCTGCAATTTCGATCGAGTGGAAAATTTAATAACAAAACGACGCCTGGTCCAGCTCCAGTGCTCTCCCATGAAGAGGAAAATATTGTTAAGGACTGGATTAAAACAAGCCAAACAAAAGGTTTCCCACTGCATGTAGAAGATGTTCAGCTTAGCGTCAAGCAGTTCTTGGACGAAAATCCACGACCAAATGTACCTTTTCTTGGAAACAAACCAGGAAGAGGTTGGTTTAGAGCATTTCTTAGAAGACATCCAGATATTACATTAAGAACCCCCGAAGCTATTACAGCAGCTAGTTCCAATGTTTCCGAAAGTGATATACGCAAATGGTTTACCGACATTGAAACCTACTTGGTTGAGAAAGGATACGATAGCATTTTACAAGACCCATCCCGAGTATTCAACGGAGATGAAACTTGTTTTCTGCTATGTCCGCAAAATAAGCGTGTTTTAGCTGCTAGGGGCTCAAGAAATGTGTATCAAATAGAACATAATTCTAAATTTAGTTTAACTGTTATGTTTACCTTTTCGGCAGCAGGTGAAGTAACTCCACCAATGATCATTTTTCCTTATAAAAGAATACCTGCACAAGTATCTAATTCTGTTCCTGGAGAATGGGGTGTAGGGTGTAGCGATAATGGGTGGATGAAAAATGAAAACTTTTATGAATACATCGGGAATGTCCTCTATAAATCTTTAGTGGAAAAAGGCACTACGTTTCCAATAATTTTGTTTGTCGATGGTCACGTAACGCATCTTACATACCAAACTAGCCAACTTTGTTCCAGACTGGGTATTATTCTTATCGCATTATATCCAAATTCCACTAGAATCATGCAACCGGCAGATGTATCGGCATTTAAACCGTTAAAAGTTTATTGGAGTAAAGCAGTGCAAAAATTCCATAGAGATTATCCAAAGAGCGTAGTAACAAAAGAAAATTTTGCTCCTATAAAGGTGATGTTATCAAAAATGGATTTAGGGCATGTGGTCTTTTCCCTTGGAACGCCGATGCAATAGATTTTTCTAAATGTACAGGAAAACAGAAAAATATCAAAATTAATAAACTAGATCAATTAGAGCTAACGTCAATAACATTTACAGAATTTTCTTCAGTTGTTGGTTCAGAAAAAATTAAATTATTACAGAATTTTGACCTAGAAGAAAATCCCACTGAAGAACTTCGAACGCTTTTTAACATATACAATATTTTTATAGAAAAAGGAAAAACCGAAACAAAAAATAAAAATAATCAAGAAATAATAATCCCTAATACACTTGAAGAAAATTTAAATCAGATTATTAAACTTGAGGACATTCCCATAGTTTTAGAAGAAGAACTGAATGGAAAAATAGTTCCGAATGTCGTAATGGATGTAATTCCATCTAGTACAAGTAATATAAGTAGCATCGATAATTTAGACGTTATTGCAGATACTGAAAAACCAACATGTTCGTTCGAATTAAGTGAAGCAAATACATCCTTAAGCAAATATTTTTTCTGGCCAAAGACGCCAGAAAGGAAGGGCAAGAGACAAAATGAAAAACTTCCATTTGTTTTAACATCAACGGTTCGAAAAAATGTCGAAAAGGCAAAAATAGAAAGAAAAGAGTATGAACTGAAGGAAAAGACGAGGCGGAAGGAAGAACGCATAAAAAAACAGAATCTAAAAAAAGAGTCTAAAGAAAACATGATTAAAAAGACAACTATGAAAAAAAAATCCAAAATAGTAAAAAAAGATAAAAACGTTAACAAACCATTTCTGGAAGAAAATATCACTAATAATAACTTTGTTGAAGAACAGAATAAAATTGATTCATGTTCATCAAGTCAAATTCCAGTTATATTAAAAAACCTGGATTCAAAAGGAAAGATTAAGGAAAATTCCATAAATCCTATAAAAGAAACTCTTACAAAAAACAGGGTAAGGATACATTTGCCGGAAAATAGCTCTTCAGCTAAAAAAAAGAAAAGTTCAGAAGGCCTGAAGGTAATTCATCCCATAGGTTCCAGCTCTTCTAAACAAAATTGTTTAACAGCAAATATGTCCACCATATGCTCTTCACTAACACCGATAGTGCCTTATACCGAAAATGACTCTTCACCTATAAGCTATTTTCATATGCCTGATTCCACTAAAAGAAAATTATTTGCAGAGGAAAATCCTAAAAAAATAAAGGTAATTTCCGATGTATGCATTAAATCTCCGAATATTCCTAATTACTTTATTAATGCAAGGGTTTGTACAGGTTTATGTTACTGCTGTTTGTTTAATATAACTGTAAAAAACGATGGTATACGTTGTTATAGTTGTACTCGAGTATTCCACTACATTTGTCTTAAAAAATGTTCTGATCGTCCATTAATTTCTGATAAGTTTATATGTACAAAATGTCTAAGTGAGAAGGAAGTTTATATTATTTAGTACCAGTACCAGTAGCCTGTAAGTAACTATAGGTACTCTTACTGATATGTCCTTTTGTGATGTTCAAAGATATTTTTGTTTATTTTAGAGATTTTTTATTATTTAATACTAGTAGTCTGTGAGTAACTAGCCTAGTATTAGTTAAACGCAAATCTTTTCTACGATTTAAGTACCTTATATGCATTTAGATATACGTATTTACCTGGTGGCCAATATCTATGATCTCAGTGGCCAATTACTAAAAATAATGGCCAATGACTGTGTATTTGGTAAACTTTCCAGTTTTCTTTTAATAACGTTTTTTAAAATAATGTTTTACCTATTTTTTTTTATTTCTACTTGTACCTTAATAAGTGAGGCATATTGTAAAACAAATAAAGTTTGAATTTTTTAAGATGAAGATTTATTTTAAACTATTAATCAAACAAGCATTGCTTAAGTGGCCAATGACTGTACCCGTTACCCTACACCTATTTTACATTTTAAATAAATTGAAATAAATTCTTAATTAACATTAATAAACATTCGTAAATTAGAGAATCATAATTCTGGAGCTAGTTGATTAAATTAGTATCGTCTCTTTGTAATGTTTATTCGTACACATGACTTAATCACGAGGGGTTGTTGGAATTACATTGGAAGTGACACCCCTCGTTTAATCCTAATCCATTTTGTGGCCTGTTATTATTTACACCTCACTTCAGTATAACAGATAACTTGATATTTATAATTTACAGTGCAAGTAAACTTTAGTTTAGCTAATTTAAATTATTAATTAACTACAGTTCAGATAGCTTTTGATATTGTAACAGATTGTTTTCCTTTCCGTCAAATTGTATCTTGTGAGTGTTTTGGATAGGACGCTTTTAGTAGCGATGGGAACTATCGAATGAATTAGACTATCGAATGGTTAATGAATGAATGATTTCAACTATCGAATGGTTTTATTCGAATAAAATCATTCATTCATTTGTAAACTAAAGCATATGTGGCAACCTCGCCGTGCGACTAAATGGTTATCGTTGAGCCACGACTATCGAATGCTTTTGATAAATGAAATTTATTATTCGTTTGGATTTTGTATGCGTCAGTGCATTATTGGTTCTTCTAAATTTTTATAACTTCGCCGTATAAATACTGTGCTATTTTTGCGTTTATTAAAATAGTTAAAATACTGAAATAGTAGTTATTTTTTAATTTTATTTATTGACGATTGTGCATGTGCAGGTGGTCAAAATTTTTCCGATAATTTGTGTGGTTTTCCGTAGTCCGATCTTTCAATTATTTCATTTTATATGGTATATGGTCTATTTTTTAATGGGAAATTTTGAGAAGTAGCAATTTTTAAGAGAGATGAGATGAACTTACAATTAATTTTAAAATACATATTTGTATTTTAGATGTTTTAATAATACCTATGAATTAGTTGGAACTTAATAATTATATTTAAGTAATGTGGTTAAATAAATGGTTATCGAACTCAAACTATGGGGTGAGAAAATTAAAATGAAAATTTTACACGTGCCAATTTAAAAAAAAGTTAACGATGTTTGTATTTTGTTTATGCTAATTCTCTTACATGTAGTTTTTTGCGAACAAATATTTCATTTATTTTTTAAAGTAAATGCCAGTAAAAGTAAATATAATTTTTAAATAGTAATATAAAGCACCTAATATAAATAATTTTGATTTCTAATTTTTTATTTATATTTTCCTTCCATTACACCGCTTGCTTAGAAAATTAATAAATGTTTATATTTCATGATTTTAAAATTTGTTGTTAATATAACAAATTAGTTCTGTAATTATTATTATTTAATAAACCAACGTTGCCAAAAAAAATTAGAGACTATATTATTTTTAAATAGGATCTAATATAAATAATTTTGACATCTAATTTGTTGTTTATATTTTGTTACTGCTTAAAAAAAAATATTTATATTAAATGATTTTAAATTTTGTTGTTAATAGGTATAACAAATTATTACTGTTATTATTATTTATTAAACCAGTCTCTGCTTAAAAACATTAAAAATAATTTTCCTACATCCAAAATAACAAGTATTATTGCAGTGTAATAACAGAATATTAATAAAAAATGCAGAATATATAGACATACTATCCCTAACTAACTAAAGCCAAACAATAATATTCTTTGCTAATATCAACTAATACAAAAATATGGCAACAGCGCCCTTCATAATGTATTTTCTGTGTAAATACTAGCACCTCAATAAAAAAATAATGTGTCCTTATCTATATATGACTCCGCAAAAATCAAAGATGCCGGCTTCTTTCATAGCATTGCCACCGACCGCTTTCTCGGAAAAAAACCTACGTCGCCGGGCGACAACTAAAATTCAGTTAATATTTTATTATAATCGATCCTGACGAATAAATGAATTTCATAAATGAATGAATTTTATAAATGAATGAATTTTATAAATGAATGAATTTTATAAATGAATGAATTTTATAAATGAATGGTTTTTGCTGCCGAATTACTAGAATACAATATTTCAAGGCAGATGACGGATCTATTCGATAATTTTTATTCGAATAGTTTTCAACGAATGTTTTCTTACTAACTATCGAATTATTCGAATGAATTGCAACTATCGAATGTTTCGATAGTATTCATTCGATAGTTCCCACTACTAGCTTTTAGTAAAGAAAATTGCATTTCTAACTAATTCCAACCAAACCAAATACCATGTGAATGCGATAAATTTTACATTGGTGAAACATTTAGACCCTTAAATATTAGAATTAAAGAACATAAAGATTATTTAAGAAAGGGAGATTTTCACAAATCTAAGATATGTCAGCATGCATGGGTCACAGGGCACAGAGTAGATTTTGATAACGCCAAAATTATAATGAAAGAAGCGATAGCCTCTAAAAGAAAAATAAAAGAGGCTTCTTTAATACAATCTAATAAAAATAAATGAATTGCTCATGCATCTGTAGATGTTAGTATTGTAGTAATCGCTTCTTTGATTTGAAAGAACATAACATAAATAGACATAACATACGTAAAATTTAAAACTAATCATATATATTATATCACGAGACCTATAAATTTAATCGATTAAACTATTCAAATATATTTTGTGCGTGATTTTGCTTGGAAAATAGTTGAATGGCACAATAATTCTAGAATTATTGTGCATGAAACTATTTCCTAAAAAGCAAAATCATGCAAAAAATTATTTGGGTAGTTTAATCAATTAAATTTATAGGTTGAGTGATATACGGCTAAATTATTTCCTGAATGACTTAGAATGAAGCGAATGACTTAGGATGAAGCAAATAACTATAAGAATTTTATTAAATATTAATTATTTATTTCAAAATGACGTCTCGTAAGTAATGTTTGTGCTTCTGCTACCTTGGTTACGCATCCCAACAATGCATTGAGGACCGTTTCGCATGTCAACATATCAAATTCTGACGTATTTTTCTCCACTTATTTGTTCAAAATAATATCGAATAAGAGGTTTTCACAGATTAAAATCGTTATTAAGTCATACATATGAGTTGTAAATCAATGTTTTTAAATGAACTGTTGCCAAAATCTCTTAGAATTAGTGATAAACGACAAAAAGAAAACCCAAAATTAAGCCGAAAAAATAATCACGGTTAAACTGGCCTTGGGATTTAATCACTTATCTAAACAAAATTTATTCGAAAAATTAGATTAGTTGATTGGTCCATTTCACGATGGGAGAAATAATCATACAGAAAGTTTGGGGCTTTTTGGTTTTACCTTATTAAGTAATTGTTATCAGGTAGTAATTGTTAATTTTGATGTTTAACTTGATATAATGTCATTTTAACAGAACGTCAACGGTTTCTTGTAGACGTATCTGCTTTAAAAAAACTAAAGTGTTCTCATAATAGTTTGAATTTAAATATTTTAAATAGTTTTTTTCTTTATTCTTGGTATTTTTTTTGCTTCTGACGACGGAAAGATATAGACTTTCCGAAACGTTAAGCATTTTTTCTTTGTTAGGCAAATTTGTATAACTGTAAACATAACTTCTGACAAGCAGCGTCCGTTTAGGTTTAACGCAGAAGTGTTTACAAAAAATAACTATTTTATTTTGTAGATTTTCTTGCAGTGCAGTGGCGAAATACCCATATAGGATTTTTTTGGAGTAATGTTTTGTTGTTTTAATCTGTCAAGATTTCTTCCTCCTGTATAATCCAGTTAATTGCCTTTCATATATTTTATACTTTCAAACATAGCATAAGCTACGTAAACTTGGAAATATAATGTGAAACAGGAATAAAGTCTACGTAATATAAAACTGAAAAATAACAATTTTTGAAATGAATTTTCATCTCGACTACTAAATCTGCCCGTACGGATTTTAACTTGCAATTTACTGCATATTAACTTTAAATCTATAAAATTTGTAATAAAACCTTTCCGACATATTCTAGAAATTGTAATGTTGGTTATAAAATGCGTTTCGAAATATTCTATTACCCACGAGAATTCATTTCGGAAGCTACAATTTCACTGCGGTTTTCATACAACAAAGGAATTAGATTTAGGCTAAAATTCATTGATTTGTGAAATGTAAAATGAACTTCGTTTCGCTTTTATGTTTATTTTGAAATGATTGAATTCCAATATTAGCTACATTGTGGTGTTTAAATTGTTTTTTTTTCTTAACTAAAAACAAAAAATATATACAAAAATTCTACTTTGTTTCGTAGCTACAGGGTGTTAAAGTCTTAATATTTTTTCGATTTATTATAATTTTCTTCCAAGTACTTTTAGCGTTTCAAATGAAATTTTGAGAGTAAAAGTTATTATAAATAAAACATATCTTAATGCTAAAAAAGTGTTGACAAATTCACCAGGGATGTGCATATGGGTTATCACTAGAATATTTTTCTAAAAGAGGCACGTACGCTAATGACTTTTTCTCTCGTTAGCGAAATAGAATAAGCAGTTTAATGCCGATTAAAAGTTGTCTCTTGATATTTTGTCGATTTCGAATTCCTTGATGATTTTTCCTTGACGCAATTTTATTAATTTGCCTTGATCCAAGTCTAATAGCAACCTTTAAAAAAATTAATATCATTAACTTGCGAAAGTTTTAAATATATGCTCATTGATTCCTCATCATAAAATATGAAAAAAAGTTCCTATAAACATGGGTATGGAAATGCATAGTTTTAGAGTTACGGGATGTTAAAACTTTTGAAAATTACGTTTTATATAATTATCTTAAATTCCATTATTTTTTTATTTGAAATTGCTGTAGGTTGTACTAATAGTAATAATATTTAATAATAAATTAGGTAAAACAACCCAGATGCACGTCTCTGGTGAATTTAACATCATACATGGTGGATTCTCTAATAAAATTGACAATTCCCTCTTAGAAATTGTGTTCAATTAGTAGTTCGTTCCATTCGGATAATTAAAAAAATCGTCCAAACATTCGCCATCCTAAACTGCCCAAACATTTACCAACCAACAACTGTCTTGGTGCCAGTAGTTAGACCTACTGTTAATATCCAAGACACTTTCGTTGCTATATGAAAAGTGACCTGAACAACGTAAACTTAATAATATAATAATAAATAACACAAACAAGAGGCAAAACACGAAAACAAGTGAAATCAAAGACGAATTTGGATTAATAACTAAATGACGTTAGTATGAGAATAAATCCTAGTTTTCGGCCATATACGAAATTGAGGCATATTCTGTTAAAAGCTAAAT